TGAAGCCTGGGTCCTACCCTCTATCACTAGCCTGCTGTCTGTCCCTGACAAGTCACTTCAGCTCCCTGAGCCTCAGGTTCCAGAGTGGAGGTGACTGAAAGCACATTCTCCAAGGGTTTGGTACAAGCCTTAGTCAGGGCTGGGCTGGAACCACGACCCTTTCTGAGCCCTAGAAATCAGACAGTGGGCTTTCTCCCCTATCTGAGAACAACCCCCATGCCCACATCCTGCGAGCCCTCTTTGCAGTTTCCCTGCTGCCCACCTTCCTAAACCTTGGCTTCATGAGGTGCTGTCTGCAGAGGCCTCTACCTCACAGAGCAGTTTATGTGCCATATTGGACCCCCCATCCAGATCAAGGGCCTCTGGTCTGGCACCCCAGCACCAGGCAAGCCCAGTCCCCCCTCCATGGCTCTCCAAGGACCCTCATCACTCACCCCATCCTCCCACCTTGAAACCTCCAGATCTGTCTCACTAGGGAATGCAAACAGCTTGCACCAACACAGTTCTACCAGGGCCATTTTCTTTTCTTTCTTTCTTTTTGAGACAGGGTCTCACTATGCAGTTCAGGTTGGCCTTGTGCTCACTTTTGTAGCCCCCAGGATGGTCTCAAACTCACAGAGATCCTCCTGGCTCAACCTTCCAAGTGCTGGGACTGCAGGCGTGCGCCACCACACCCGCTTCTCCAGTGCCACTTTAATAAGTCCCATAATCACCCACTGCCAATGAGAGTTCAGGACTGTTTCTCACTGGGAGGTCTTCAATGAGTCCACAGCTTATCCTGCTCCCTTCAATCCATTCAGGACCCAAACCAATTTTTCTAAAATTGAAATTTGGACTTTACTCCCTTAGGTAAAGTCATTCACTTCTAGATTTAACTAAAAAATAAAATAAAAAAATAAAAAAAAAAAGGCAGACATTCAAAACCTTGCTGCTGGTCACCCCTCTCCAGAGCACCCCAACATATACCATCATCTCCCACTTGCAGCTCCTGAACCTGTCACATCCTCCCATACCTGAAGGCCTGTGACAAGTACTGGGATGGCCTTGTCTGGCTCTTCAACTCAGCCCAGGCCAGGAGCACTTTGCCCAGGTAGCCTTTGTGGGCCCACCAGGCTGCCCACAGCCTGTCCTGTTTGACCAGAGCACAGTCCAAACCTGTGCCTTCCCATGGAATGGCTGTCATCACTGGTACTGTCTCCACAGCCAGGTGACAGGTGTCTTAACCAGGGCTGCTACTCACTCACTAGCACCCTGTACAGGTTCTGTGTATGGTAATCGCTATTAAGCATGGCTGTAAGGGAACACGGGCATTACAAAACAAATGACAGTCCAAAATAGAGTAGAAGCACAGAATCCCGGAACCTTGGAGCTAAAAGAAGACAAATGCCATCTATCTCTTCATCGTATTGATGGACACTGGGTATCCGAGAGGATATAAACAGTAGACCCCGGACTGTCACTAGCCTCCAACTCTGGGAATCTTGACCACACCCAGCCCCAGTCTGGCCTCCATCTTGCCCTAAGAGCTGCAGGAAGCAGCATCTCTATTACCCCCCCCCCCACCTACCTTTACAGAGGAAGAAGCACCTCCCCGTGTCACTCCTCCCCCCACCCCCAGATTAGGCAGATGCTTCTCTTACTATAATGAACCTTTAGGGATCCCCTACCCCGACACGCACAGTTGCAACTTCTGCGTTTCTTCCCGCTCACAGTTCTTTCTCCACCCACAATCTGTATCTCTGCTCCTGCAATCACGCATTTATTGAGTACCTACTATGAGTCCTTGTACAAAGAGCCCGGGGATCCTAACCCTGAAGCTAGTCTATCTGGGAGGCGGACACCGGTGTGGAACCCAGAATAATGGTGCGACCAAGAGAGGCAGAGGCGAGGGACCCCCCCAGATCCTCTTTCAGGTCCACGAGGCTTGCACCCGAATCCGACCCCCGCCCACCCAAGTAGGGTGGAGAAAGTTTGGGGCAAGGGGCGCGCGGGATCGCGCGGGGAGGGGGGTCGGGTGGAGGGTCCCTCCAACTACCGAGCTGGGTGGAGCGGCGCAGGAAGGACTGGGGCCTGCGCGAGTTAAAGCTTGCCCGGCCCCTCCCTCCCCGAAATGTAGAGGGATTGGAGGGAAGGGGAAATAAATACCTTTGACTTTGTAGCTAAGGTTAACGGGAACGGCCTCCCTGGGGGCGACTCGGGCACAGGGATCCCGGCCCTGGCCAGTCCCGGGGCAGGCGGGGCGGGCACGCGCTCCTGATTGGATGGTAGGACTCGCCGTGCCCCGGGCCGCCCGGCCACGCTATTGGCTGAGCGGCTCAGATCACCCGCCCGGCCCTATCGGAGCAGCCCGCGGGGCGGCCCCTTTGTTCTCCTGAGCCAATAGCCCGGGGCGGGGGACTGACCCCGGCCGGGGGCGCGCGTCCCGCGGTGGCAGCGCCTGCGTTGCGGCTGGGCTTCAGGTGCCCGGCTGACCTTGCCCGCCCGTCTCCCGCACACGCGCGTGTTAAGGTCTAAAGCTGGGTTCACGAGCTCGCGCGCCGGCTCAGGTTTCCTCTGAGTGTACGTCTGCTCTGGCCGTGTGCAGCGGCTGGGTGCACGCACCTCGCGGGAGGCGCGCTGCCACACGTGCGCGCGTGCTGCGAGCTGGCCCCAACGTCGCAGAGCGGGGTGATAAACAGTGTTTAGGACCCTGCACTGCGGAAGGTGCAGAACGCGTACCGCCCCGCCTTCTAGCTGCGGAAGCAGGGTCGATCCGATTTCACAGCTCGCCAGAGCTCAGATGAGTGGAATCCTTTCCTGGCTGCCAACCAGACCTGACTTTCGGCCAGCGCGAGTGTTGGGTTCCCAGGGACCTCCAGGAAAGAGAGCATTTTCTCACCTGCCTGGCTGGGGGTTGTCCTCTCACTTTGGCCGCGGGGGTGGGGTGGGGGGGGCACTGTGGGTCGCCTCCCGCTGACGGGATTGTGGAGCAAACAGAAGCCGGGTCTCCCTAGCTCCCCACACGGCTCCCGTGAAGCGGGCGGACCTGGTGCCAAGCAGGCAGCAGCTGGTGAGCAGGGGCACGGGCCCTGCTACTCCTGCGCCCCAGAAGCCAAATGGAAACAGACTAATTGTCCATTTTGCCACTAATTTTGTGTAGTTTTCACATATTTTTCTTTCTCTGGACTTTGGCTTATTCATTTAATTTTCTAGTTGCCTCCGTACCTTATTGAATTCTCTTACATTTGGTTTTAAGTCTATAGAAAGTAAAGTGCTACAGAAAGCCCTATGCAGCCGACGCAGCATCTCTAGCCCTCAACCCATGAGCTCTCATCCCGTGATTACTTTTTTTTTTTTTTTTTTGCGGAACCAGGGATTGAACTCAGGCCCTTGAGCTTGCCAGGCAAGCACTTATTCTGAGCCATCTCCCTGACCCCCGTGATTACCTTCTAGGGTACCTGGAGAGGGCACCACAATGGAGTGTAGAATTTACTCCTCAGAAACCAGTGTTGTAGTTCCAGCACTGCCACCAGCAATGTGACCCTGGGAAGTCACTTCGACCAGGCTTGTTCCCTCTAGAGTGAAGACTTCCTCCAGATTGACATTCCACAAGCCAGGGCATTTCAGGAGTGAAGAAAATGAAACACATCTGGAGGCCTATTCCCATTACCAAGAAATGGGGGCGGCCACACGTGTGTATGTGCCAACCACAGGAAGTCATGCCTAGGAGAACACCTTAAACTCTGACAGCGTAAGGAGAAAGGACTTGGGAGTGTGGGCTGAAGGAATCCAGGATTTCACATTAAAATATGTGCCTGTGTTATTTCAAGCTTTAGAGGATACTTTAGAAAGAGAAAAAACAATTGTAGAAGAGAAGGGCAGCTCCTAATGGCAGAAGTCTGATGTCCTTTCCCCAAATTCTTCCCTCAGCCAGTTAGCTGGGATGAACAGTGCTGAGCAAGCACTTGGGCCAGGCAGTGCTGTCCCTACACCCAGGCCACAACTTCCCTTTAAAATGATCATTTTCCTTAAGGTCCTCTCCCTGTATCCTTGTCACCACTCCCCAGCACTAAGCAGACTCCCAAGGACCGGCCCCCTCCTTCCCACCCATCATCTGCAGATGTCCATCTGCTCTTGCCTGGTCATCCCCCTTCATTGGAAGCCAAGTAGTCCCTCAGGGAAGAAATGTGTGTGAGGCTGAGACTAGGCCCTCTTCCCTGGGGCTTTTGACAGATTAATTCAACTACACAAGGTTTTCAACAGCTCCATAACACCATAAACCAATACAAAGCTTTGAAGCTGTTGGCCTCCAACCTGCACACTGAGCCCTACCCTCTCTGGCACCACAGGGGCAAGAATTAGGACTTAGCTTTAAAACCCCTCAATTCCTATTACAACATGCGTCATACAGTAGGCATTTAATACCTGTTTCAATCAAAAGGAGCACCACTCAGTTTACCCCAAAAGCATGTGGTGGAGGTGAAAGGCTCAGGAGTGAGACAGACCTGATTCAGAACTCACCTGTTTTGATTACTGGTTACACGACCATGAGCAAATGTCATCATGCATAAAAGGACAAAAGCCCCTACCACAAGAGGATCATGAGATGTGACGTAGGGGAACCTCTGCCAGGTGCAGCCCGCATAAACAAATGGTCATTCTGAAGCACCAGCACAATAACAAGAAAACAAAAATAAAAGCCTGTGATACCTGACAGAAACAGGGACTCAGATGTGCACAAAAGCCCCAGTGCAGGGAGACGTACCAAGTGAGGGACCATCAGGGAGCAGCCAGGGAGGACGCGCGGGGCTGTAAGTGACATCAGCCCTCTTTCCTCCACGGGCATCTGACTGTGTGGTCCACACAGCATGCCTGGGTGTGGAAGCCGTCTGCCATCTCTTGCTCAGAACTGCCTCTCCAGCTCCCTTTTCATGCTGACAACCCTCTGGCAGGGGCTCTAAGCAAAATCTGTAAGTTCCAAGGGATCAGCCCTCCAGGAAAAAGAACACTCCCAGCCAACCAGTTCTAAAACCAAACCTTTATTCTCTAATTTGAAAAGGAAGGTAAACAGTTGTTCTGTTTAGATCCAGAAAACAGAACAAGGCCCAACAGATAGAAATGATAGGAAAGCAGATTTAATCATCATAAGGAAGAATTTCTACCAATTAGAATCATCCTACGATAGACCAGGGCCTGGGGAGGTGGGCGCTCTCAGGGGCTTCATGCTCCACAGTGGTTGCCATCCACAGGCTGAAAGCGCTGCAGAGGAAATGCACCACCCAGGACCTTCCCTTGGGCTGCACCCAAGCCCAGTCCTTCCCAAAACACAGTGAGCTCTGGATGAAGCGGATCGTCAGATCAGGCAGAACAGCCAGGAAAGCCCGCAGCACCAGCAGGGCAGAGGATGGAGCCAGACAGTATCTTCGGGGAGGAAGAGGATGGACTTGCTATAGCAGATGGACCTCTCCAAGTGTGGTATTCTATGCAGGGGCAGCAGGGAGATGGACAGGTAAGAGCCGCCTGGCCTTGCCTTAGTGCTGAAAAAAAGCCCCGTGCTGGTTAAGGAGCGCAGGTTTGCCAAGGTGTATCCAGCTGGTCCATTTTCCTTCCCCTTGCCAGTGCTCATTTACTAAGGACTGTTCCACACCTACTTCCAAAAGTGACCTGAAGTAACTTATAGTAGAGACAGGGACATTAAGGCGTTAACACCAGAGGATGGAGCAGCCTCCTTCCCACTGGTGGCTCCTCTAGCCAGGGATTTAAGGGTAGATGGAGCTGCTATTGCTACGTTTTCAGAGCACAGGACAGTCAGGATGGAACCTCAGAAACACCACATGGACAGCGGGTCCTTTGGCTCTGACGGGGCTCCCTGACCACTGGATTGACTCCAGCAGGGCCAGCTCACCCCACCTCTTCCATCCCTTTTGGGATTCCCATTGTGCCTTCCACTAGCACCCAGGCATGTGCCTTGGGCCAGTGCCTCGCTCCTGTCCTGAAGGTGGCCCAGGGCTCCTCTCAGACATCGTGCTTCTTCTGGTGGGTCAGGAGGCGCTCCTCGTCGTCAAAAGTCTGGCCACAGATGGCGCAGCAGAAGGCGCCATCCCGGATGTGGCTCTTGCGGTGGGTGATGAGGTTGGATTTCTGACTGAAGCTGCGGTCACAGTCGGGGCAGGCATAGGGACGCTCGCCAGTGTGGATGCGCCGGTGGGACACAAGGTTGGACTTCTGGCTGAACGCTTTGCCACACTCGGGACAAACATAGGGCTTCTCACCGGTGTGGATGCGCCGGTGTGCTGCCAGGTAGGGCTTGTGTCGGAAGGCCTTGCCACAGTCGGGGCAAACAAAGGGCCGCTCGGGGGCGTGGTCACGCCGGTGGGCCGCCAAGTGGCTGCCCTGAGAGAAGCGGCGGCCGCACTCCTCGCAGGCAAAGGGCCGCTCTCCCGAGTGCACGCGCGAGTGCGCCACCAGGTGTGTCTTCTTGCCGAAGTTCTTCCCGCACTCTGCGCAGGTGAAGGGCCGCTCGCCACTGTGCTGCCGCTGGTGCGCGCGCAGGAAGCGCTCAAGGCGGAAGCTGCGCCCGCAGTCTTCGCAGTTGTACAGAGACGGGGGCACCTCTGCCTGATCGGGTGGGAGCTGCAGGGGGGCTCCAGGCACAGGCTCGGCTGAAGCCTCCCGGGCTGGCTTCTGAGGCCACGGCTCCACTGAGGGTTCGGGGGCCGCGGCTGGAACCTGGGGGCTCCCGGTAACCGGCGCAGCCTGTGCGCAGCCCTCCGACCGCTTGTGGATCTTGCTGTGCGATAGCAGGTTGGGTTTATGCCGGAAGCGGCGGCCGCATTCAGTGCACGGATAGGGCTTCTCGCCAGTGTGGATGCGCCGGTGCGAGGTCAAGTAGGGCTTGTTGGTGAAGCGCTTCCCGCACTCAGGACACTGGTGCGGCCGCTCGCCCGTGTGCACTCGGCGGTGGGCGATCAGGTTGGGTTTGTGGCGGAAGCGCTTGCCACAGCAGGCACACTGGAAGGGCCGGTCCACCGCGTCTCCACCGGGCCTGGGAGCAGTCACTGCCGGGCGCCCACGGGGCCTCGGGCCCAGAGCCTTGGCTGCAGCCTCCTCCAGCGCCTCAGCCACATGCACCCGTTTGTGAGCAACCAGCTGGTCCCACTGGGCAAAGCTTCTGCCACAGTTGCCGCAGATAAAGGGCCTGGCCTCAGGGGCAGGAGGGTGGCGCCTCCGCAGATGAGCTCTGAGCTGCTTTTGTTGCCAGAAGCGTCTGTCGCATTCCGGGCAAGCAATGGGCCGCTTTGCAACTGAGTGCGCCTGCAGATGCAGAACCAAGGCCACCCAGCCTTGGAAGCTCTGCCCACAGTGGTGACAGGTGAAGCCCAGGTCTGAGGTGGCAGAGGCATGAACCTGGCAGTGCAGCGCTAAGAATGGGGCATGGCGGAAGCGTCGCCCACATTCGGGACAGGGCAGGGGCAACCGGGCCTGGCACTGTCGGGTGTGAAGCCACAGGGCCACCCAGCTTGGGAAATGCCTTCGACAGTGGGCACAACGATGGGCCTTGCCAGGGGCTTGGCCACCCGGCTGGACCACTAGAGTGCCCCGGTGCCTCAGCCTGCTGGACTCCTTCTCCAGGGTCTGGGGTGACTCCTGGGATGGCCCAGAAAGGAGTCGAGGCGGGGCTGGGCCCATGGCCATGGAGCCCCTGCAGCGCCGTTCCAGCATGGGTTCTTCCTCTGCTGGGGGTGGAAAAAGAGAGTCACTCCAGGGACGCACACATCTGCCCAGCTCCCCTCCCTATTCCAATACCCTGAGAGCAGCTCACCAGAGCCTGCGTCCCTAATCTACACCATCCCACTTCCTATGTGTTAAATATTATTTCAACCACTAGGTAACACTTCAAAAATGTGTCTTATATCTCCACTGCCCCAAAAATGCAGGGAGGAGACTGTGACACTTGGAATCCAATTCATGGCAGCTGCCCCACTGTTGGCTGCACCAACACTATGGCCATGGAACTCACCAGAAAATGTGTTCTCATATCTCCCTACAGTATCTCGGGCTTTGCAAGGCTTCTCCGTTTCCCTCTGTGTGTGCCTACTACCAAGTCTCAGTGCTCAGCAGGAGCTCCCTGCTTGACAGATGAAGCAAGTGGGAGGCATCAAAGGCAATAGGACTTGCCCGAGATGACACAGTAAACCTAAAACAGAACCAAGACTGGGGCACAGGTGCTCTAAGCCCCCAGGCCAGTGTTCTTTCCTCTAAACACCTGGGTTTGCATGGATCTGGCAAAAACAAATTGCCTCTAACTCCTGCCACCCCATGGGGGGGGGGGTGCACTTTCAGCTTCACTGCCTCAGTCTCAGGGTCACAGCCTGGACAGTGAATGAAAACAACCTCTCTTGGGGGTGGGTGGAGCTCAGCACCCCTCCTGGCACTGCCCACAGCCAGGCCACCACCTGTCCAGACTGCCCACATTCTGCCCGTCTGCCCTCCTCCACCCACACGTGATTAGGTGATGGCAGAAGGAAGCTGTCTTGAATCCAAGGAACACCCACTGCCTGCTGCCCTGGGGGGCCCAATCCTTGGCTCTGCCTCTTTTGGGGTGCTGTGGCTGGGGCAAGTAAAGCAGGAGGGAAAATGAGAGTGGAATCTGCCCCTTGCCTGATCCTGCCCCAACCTGGCCAGGGGCTGCCCCTCATTCACCTCCTCCCAGCCTCGAGTCTCCTGAGGGACCTCCAGAGCCTGCTCACAGGCTGCAGGCAGCCACATCCTCCTATATTCCCTATAGCCTGCTCTCCTGGGGGAATAGTGACATGACTCATCCCCAGGGACTGAGTGCAAGGAAGATCCCCAAGACACGGAGAGGGAGACACACACGCACGGACACACGCACAAGCCCTTTCCCTGTGCCAGGATCCGAGTGGAGGGTTCGCTGGGGTTTGGGAGCACAACAAAGTGAGACTCTACCCTGGAGACCGCAGAGCTGGGGGTGAGGCTTTCTCCAGCTCCTCCTGGGGATGTTCCTGAGGATACTTCTGCGGCTGCAGCGCCTGCTTCGACCCACACTCCGAGAGCCCCCGGATGTTAGAGAAAACTGCAGCAATAAAGACACCCCTACCCCCATGGCACCGCTCAGACCTCTGAACGCAGAGAGGCCAGCCTTACCTGCGGGAGGGGGAAGGAAACGCGCGTGAGGCTCTGCGCTCCCCCAAGGCGTCATCTTTGTGTCCTCACCAGCCCAACCCTCCCCCACCGGGCCACGCACGGGCTCCGGCCTTTGGGCCTGGCAGAGTGACCTTAATGGAGGCGCGCTTCGTAAATAAACGTGGCCCTTCGTGAAGGAACCACAACGCTGCCCTTGGGAGTCACCTTCCCCCGGAGGGTCGGCACGCATTCTCCATTTCGTGCCCAGGGTCTCCTCCTGGCGGCCCCCGGCCGGCCCCGGGCAGGAACTCCGGGATCCCTGCTGGCTCTCCTGACCCGCTCTGCCCCCGGCAGGAATTCCAGGGCTGTTTCCCAAGGGGCTGCCAGGGCGCGCCGGCGTGACCGGGGCTCGGCCAGAATCCCTTCGACATCTTGGATGGCCGAGGGTGGCAGGCGGCCCACACCCCCCTTCTGTACGGGTGCGTGTCCCCCGCGGCACGCGGGTCCCGCTCGGGCAGGAGCCACTCGGGGTCCCCGCACGCGCAGCCCGCCGAGCCTGTGCGCAGGTGCGCCCCCCCCAGCCGCGCACCTCGCGGTCACGCGCTCCGCAGGCGGAGCCGCCCCCGC